ACCGCCCATGCTCAGCTCGACTATGGACAAAATGTCATCAAAGTACGTCTGTGCATAACTTCGATGGGGTCGAAACAATTGCGATCCAAACGGTTAAACGTAGCCGGAGCATTAGATAGCCCCTGGGACATCACTAACCACTCCCAGAGCATACCGCTCGGAGTACTAACAGCAGTAAGCGGAATATCACTAGCTCGCATAAGCAATTGGTAACAACCGTCGACTAAATCGAGCGCACTGTACATGGTACAAACGACCATATTGTTTTGAAGAACATCCTTTCTAGGTATTGGCGTCTGTGCAGGTATAGTGGCTGCATTGAGCTTGTTATTAGCATGAACGATACTCCATATACCATTCGGTTTCTTAACACAGAAAGTAGGTGTCGAGTGCGGTGAATTAATCTCGCGGACCATGCCCGCCGCGTGCTTTGCACGAAAGAACTCGTCAATGACGTCACACTGTTCTTTGGGTAAAGGCCACTGCCGTGTTACGCAGTATTTGGTTCCAGGAACCAAGTCAATTTCATGACGTACACCCCTATCAGGTGGTAGAACCGACCGTGGGTCGTGACACACCACGTCCTAGAATTTCTTAACTAAAGGATAGTAGGGATCTAAAGGGTTCTTCAGAATAGATGCCCCACTACGTGCACTTAGTGCCGCCTTTGTATCTTCGAGGACTGTCTCATCGACAAGCGAGGATGAGTTCAGCTCGAGGTTAGGTCGAATGACCACCATATTGGATAGAGCACCAGCCTTCAAGGCTTGATGAAATTCATCCACAGACATTTCGTCTAGCTCTAAGAGAGCATTTAATGATGGGAGGGCCTCAAGGTCAACCTCACCATCTACATCACCTGTCACTCCGTTGACCAGGGTATACAACTGGTCACTGACATTACTACGCGATAAAACAAACGCTTTGCGTCTCGCAGCCGCCATCTGGCGACGCTGCCGTCTCATTGACGAGACCGTTCCTTCTAAAGTAATAACTTCTTAAGTAATTGGGATACTATCATCATCAAGGTCAACAGATGTCTTGACCATAACCTGCCCTATACGAGGGCCGATGTCATTATTTACATCCAGTGAGTCACTAGTACCAGTGAATTTACTAACAAGGTCATCGACCTTAACTTGCGCTATACAAGAGCCGATGTCATTACCGACATCCAGTGTCTCAATATTACTTTGAGTATCACTCAACGGAGTACGTGCCGTTTCACTAAGTGTCATTAAGCTCTGCTCGACACTATTATTGTTGACATCGGAGTTTATCAACTCAGACACTCCAATGTCCAGCACACTAACTAACTCAGTTAATGGCTTGCGCCAATAGCACTTCTGTTTATTAGCGAAGGTGGGCATGACTCTCCAAAGCTTCGCTAGGAACATTGCGCGTTGCGCCTAAAGTTTTGGATCTCCAATCGATCCACGGCTCATGGCGTTCTAGCCAGGCCATACCGAGAATGAGGTCATATCTCGAGTCCAAATCCAGGACAAGACAGCGTTCAGCGCTATTGAAGTCTAAGAACTTCACACCTAAGTTCAACGGAACTTTAGGAATGGTGACACGTACACCGGTAGCGAGACGCACAGTATATACTATCACCCTCTTGCGCTTCTAGCGCCTCAGCATATAGTTTACTCCCTTTTAAGGGAACGACGTCGGACATAATTACCTGACGCCCCTGAGTCAATTAAAATTGACCATGGTTTTTTAAAACCCTTAACGATTGCCGACACAACCAACAAGCCTGGCTTGTAATCTTGTTCTATGAGAGCATCCACAGAACTACCTGGGGCTAAGCTCTGTTTACCTTTACCACCTAAAGATTCAACAGAACTTAGTTATTTCCCAGTAGGGCGCCCCGCGCCTACTGGGAGTTGGCGTTTTCCCCTGCGGTTCTCGCCTTTTGGCTAGGATCAGGGTTTCGGCTCTGCCTATTTGAACGTTGCTTTCGCAACGGACAGCTAGGGCGGAGATGCCTAGTGCTTCCGCACATATAACATCTACGGATGTTACCTTGCTGCTCAGCAGCTTGAAGCTCAGCTTCTTCAGCATGGCTGAGGTCCATGGGTTCCGCCCTGTTAGAGGTATTTGATTGATACCAGGGCAGACCATATCGAGCAGATTTAAAATTAAATTCAGCGTTAAACGCTAGTCGAAGGCTGGACACGGAAAACTTCCGTCCTGGCGACCCCAGTGCGAAGTCCTTCCATAAAAATGGCTACTCGGACTTCCTCTGCCAGTGGGTCCTGCTGCATAGCAGCAATGAGAGTTCTCAGCTCTTGGACATAGTCCGACAATTCTTTCTTAACCTGTCGGGTAGCTAAGAAGCGTGAGCGCACACGATACGCCTGATTAGGCGGTACAAACACACAAGCTAATTGCTTTTTAAGCATTTCCCATGTGGGGAATGCAGCATTTACAGAGACATCGCTCGATAGAGCCCACTCTCTAGCTCTTCCACCGAGCTTCGAAATGGCCAGGCTAACTCGTTGCTTATCTGATACAAGCATGGCGGCATCCATTGCCATTTCAACTTCTCGGATCCAGAGGAGAAGATTTTCTCCCTCCTTCCCCTCAAAGGTCTTTACGTTTAAACAAGTGGGCGATCCTTTGGCTCTGCATCGGGCACAGGTACCAGAATGTACTGTGTAGGCGCAGCTGACGCTGCCTGGTCATGGACCTGCCCTAGTAGCGTCGCTTCATAACGCATAAAGGCCTCAAGACGAGCATTTAAAACCTCAGGGTCTTGGGCCAAAAGGGCCTCGATTTGATCGGGCCCGACGAACGCAGATAATTTATCTAAGGCGAGTCGTTGCGCCTCAGAGAGGAGATTTTGATTCTCCATCCTCACAGAAGGTCAGTCTTTAAAGACTCAGGTGTAGGATTGACTACAACGACTACCAATTGTCGCAGAACTGCACAGCTCTTTAGCCAGAGGATGACTTAAGGCTCGAAACCCTTTTAGTCCTAGAGAACTAGATAGAGTTAAGGCTAAAATCTAAGGAACTAATTAAACGACTGAAACTCACTCTGTTCTAAGGAACTAGGAAAGAGACCTTTAGTCAGTCAAGCAATAAGCTTAAGGTTCAGAGAACCAACGCACAGATTGAAAGAACAAGCTAAAAGCTTAAAGGTTCAGAGAACTAACGCACGAAGTGCACAAGAGAACAAGTCAGAACGACTTGCGATCTTAAACTCAAAAGGAGAACTGATTTTATTTATGCTTTGAGATTTTATGATTAGTCCTACTCTGATTACACTACACTAGATTAATTACTATAATAGTAATTATTATATGCAGACTTTGCTATTGGACGACGTATCGTCTAAACATCTGTGTATGATGTACTTCATACAGCGTTATCGATTTATCGAATCCTAATCGATAAGATACGGTATTACCCAATACTGTATCTTAACGCTCATACTTAATACCTCTCTAAAGAGAAGTAACAAAAAGCATTATATGCAATACAAAAGGGGAGTTTAACCGTAAACTCTCGGAAAGACGCTACAACCGTCGTGTAACCCCGTTACATAAAGCGATCTGCTTTGACATTAGCTACATACTTATAAAAGTAGCAAAGTATCTTGCACCGATAGCGATGCATACGATGCGAAGGCGTGGGCTAACTTTTGACATATAGTCAGTCTGGTTTCGGCGCCTGCACAGTGCGCATGTATCGTCACGCAAGCAGGATGAGATACATTTTGTATAGCGCAGTAGTCAGGGCAACGCTTGTACTTCCGTTGGGCGGCGACTTGACCGCATTGATCGACACTCGGTCAAGAAACACACTTGTACTTTCGAAAAAGTCTGCGCGCAAAAAAATTGAATACCTTATACAACGTCAGGATCTATCTTTGATCGGCAAGGTCGGCGCTTTTGCTTGACAGTATCAAACAGCAACCGATAGATTTTCAGTTCTACCCTACGCAGCATCATTATATACTAGCTGTAACAGCAGGTGAATCTTACCCGACGTGCGTTTACACAATATTAACATTTGGCAGCGTAAGCCGTCTCTTGTGTATATGATCGTCAATGGGCATTGAGCGTAAGCTGTCCTACTAGACATCCGAGCACAGCAGTGTCTCGTCTCAATTGACGACGCTCTTTATCAGGTTAGTACACAACTCAAGCGTACGCACGACTGTAAGCAGCTTACTAGCTTTGGCTTTACTATAGTGCATATAATCAGTCATCTACTGACATTGAAGGGGGTCGGATAAGATTTTTATTGTATGTTTCGTTGCAGAGAGATTGACGAAATGAAAGGAGTGCGATTGACCCGGATTCAAATTGCTGGGATGACCTCAAACATAAATACAGTCAAGATAGCTGGCATGAAGAACATTTCGACGATCGAGGAATGTCGATGTAAAAGATGGAACGTGTTATCAGAGCTCTTCGTGCATCCGGCCAGCAAGTCAACTTGGTCATGAACTTGAGGTGCGTGATTGATTAATTGGCGGTTTAGACAAGATCTGCGATGCTTAGAAGATTAAACGCAATGCATCGTTGTTGCGATGGATTGCATGTAAGTGGCGTATGCATATATACGAACAAGACAAAGGCTTTGGTTTTTGAGCGCATAATGCGAGTAGAATTGCTGGTCTCTATAGTAAGATCGGCCAGGGACTGCACCTTTTGCTGCTTGGTGCGCGCCGTCGTCATCGCTCGCAATTGAAGTTGCCATAGACGATACTATAAAATGGTGCTTGGAGTGAGACCCGAATTCATATATTAGTCAAAGTAAAATATTGTCTCATGGATAAGACAGAAAGCTGCAACTTGCACTACCGGAAAGTTGAACCAGCATCGAACGCAAACACAGGGCGCGTCTCATCCAGCGTGACGTCAGCGAGCAACGTTGCACCATGCACCGTCACTCGAAGTGCTTTTGGCTGTCGTTATCACATAACCACGTCAGCAAATACCGACAATCTCCAATTCAAAACGATAGATAAATTAGTTTCAAGACTTATAGCTTCATCTTGCTACCGTGACGCCAACAATAACCACCAGACTTGGGGCCTTTATTGCACCCCTCGATCTTGCATAGACGTTTACCGCCATGGCTCCAGCACACACCATTCTTACGAGATGCATTGAGACATCCTTCCACATTACAGCGTTTACCTCCACCGTGACTGATGCACAGTCCGAGACTCACTGCGTGCTTGGTGCAACTCACTTCCGAACAACGTAGACCACCGCCATGGGCGATACAAAAGCCGCCAGCCTTGGCACGTTTCTTGCACTCAACCATACCACAGAGCTTGGCATTACTGCTTCGTTTGACCTTGTCAGTGTTGATACAGCAGCTGAGCGCCGGGGTCTGCTGCTCGCACATCAGACTTCTGAGCTCAGACTGACGTAGCGAGACCGTCTTAGTGTCCTGGTGCTGTTTATGAAAGTCCATACAGTACGTCTGCATGGGAATAAGACTTTTTGGACTGGGGTCCCGGTTGATCATGATGTCAATGGATGGCAGACGCACGTAACGTTTCTCCTTTAGTGGTGACACCTGCAAGCTAAGCACGTCCCTCATGCCCACGAAGCGTGGTGACCACTCTGTATTGCTAGGTATAGAGGTAGGTGCCATTGACCCTAAGGGAAAAAAGCTGCGCAAATGCATCCGACGGTTCTCGGTAGAATGCGACAATGACTGCTTCCATATGCCATTACTGAGCTGTATGTCAAGCGGTGGGAGGATGGTTTCCATATTGAAATACGAGGCTTATGTGGTAATGGTCAATTCACTTGTGATTGATTGGGATTTGAGCAGTTGTGGGTATGTCTCTTTGAAATACACGACGTCTTTGGACGTAGATTTTGAAGTGGACTTGCACCCTGTCGTAGTCTCTTGCCAAAATTTGATGTACCATGCGGAAAAAGAACCGCTTGACCAAAAATGAGTGAGCCTAATTGACCGGTAGAGCAAATCTCCCTTTTTCTTGTGAAACGACAACATTGGCAAATATAAGCTCAACAACTGTTGACACGGCACCGAAATTGTGGTGGTCTTGCGAGTTCCTAATTGTAGACATTCTGTTCTGAAGTTATTGAAGTTGTTGAAGTATAATTACCTATGCTAATGTAGAGCTGTAAGATTTCGGTGAACCGATTTCAAATAAAGAAAGGATAATGTTAAAGTTGGAAGTTACCGCGATGCAAGGTACTCTAAGAACGCTCAAAAGCAACTTGTCTTGCTTGAACAAACAGTCAGGAGATATCAGGTCGTCGGTAAAAAGATGCTGATCATTGTAGCTAGCGGCCAGGTTTTTGCGACTTTGAAGTTCAACTGCCGACCTGGCTTCATGATGCAACACAAGTGAAACTACGAGCCCGGATCACAGCGTACTGATCCCTCAGTCACAGCTCAAAAGTTGCACTGTCGGACATTGCGCCTTTCGGGTGCTTGGTTGCTAATTGCTGGATGCTGCTCGACTTCAAGTTGCACGAAGGTGTTTAAGCAAATCTGTTCAAACTTAGCAACGACTATTGGCCAAAATCGTGCTCGCGCCTGATAACGGCCACTTTTTGTCAACCTAGCCATGACGTAGCCGACGTGGCAGTCCACGAACGTAAAACAGCACGAGTTCAGCCATTTGTGACCGCACGTTTAGCAGATGATCATCCGTCTTGCAGGTCTCCAGTCCAGTGATGGCGCTAGCATGCTTCGGTCAAAATGTTGGAAGTAGCGAAGCAGCTGATAGAAACCACTATGTCTATCTGTCTGTCTCTTATCCATCCAGTCAGCATATAGTCTAGAGACAGTGCATTGAACTTGGGGCAAGTGCATGCTTTGTAAAAGACAAACGTTACAATCAAAACTTAGATTGAACTTCCACCTGTTTCTTAAGAAGCTACTGATATAGTTTGATCAATTCGTCCGAAACCGCAGACGGAGTGAGGACGCCTAAATCTGTGAATATTAACGCAATGTATCCAGGCGGGGTATAGTCAAAGAACGGGCTCTCAAACGATACGTTCTTCATCGTCTCGTCGATGGGTTCGTCACCCGCAATATCGCTAGACAGAGCAGCCATGTGTTTTTGCGGAACGTCACGCTGCGTCAACGGATACAAACGAGCAAACTTGTAACTCTCTGCCGCCACGTAAAATTGTTTCTTCAGTGCTTGTGCGATTACTGCAATTGAGTATGTGCCAATCTGAAAAAAACACGATACATGAGCTGAAGAAAACTTCCTCATTCCTCTCAAATACAACCATCATACCGAATTGACGATTCCGCCATTTTCAACAACACCTTCCGCGCCAACAATCACAATATCCACCTGTTCCATATAGTATGCAACTGCCGAGTCGAGAATTACTGTCGTAGGAATACCCGCCTTCGCCAGTTCTTTCGCTGTACTAAGTCTACAACAATCAAGCAAAAACATAAGCACCAAAACACTCAATACACAAGAAAAGTCCCTTTACCCCGATGCAGTACTTTTTCCCTCCGTCACAGATACAGAAAAGTTCTTGGTCTTAGCAGCTTCACACAATAATGCAATCACCACGCGGGACTTGCCGTGCGTCAATACTTTCTGCAGAAGAGCCGCATCAACATTTCACATATCAGATACTGTTATATATCACCACTCGAGACATTTAAGTACTCGTACATAATAAGTAAATGACTAACCATGCCGTCACGAATAAAGTTGTGGCCCACATCACTAATGCGCTGACGACTCGAAAGTGACGTCTCGGCAAATAATTTTCCACGGTCAATGAGCTGGGAGCGACAGAGATCAAAATCATCAAATTCCAAGAAGCAACGTGTTACATATCGTAAGAATAACTGACAGCCGGCGGTAGTAGCAATTGAATTATGAAAACGTGTGGCCAGCGTCTGGTCATCTGCGGCTTGGAAAGTGCGTAGCTGCTGCGCTGCTTCTTGCAATTCTCCCTCCATTTGCATCATCGTGCTGGCCTCACTATGTATAATAACACCAGTCAAAGCTTTAATCACAGCCACGGCTACAGCTACATCCGGGTCTTCCAAGTACTGGAAAAAATCTGTCACCACTTGAGCCATCTTTTGGACACTGTATTTGCCAGTCAAATGGAAATAGTGTGGCACACACATTGTTGACGGACGAGACCATTCAAGATTCCTGTAAGAATGTTAGGCCTCAATTAGGAGTTCAGTTGATTACTTGGACCAAAAACATAGCAACAAAGTGTACTAACTAACTAAACACACTCGATGATACAAAGATGTTTGATGTTAATGTGTGTGTTTTGTCGATTTATCTTACGTGCCTATACCCATGTATTTAAAAATCCATAGACTTAGTGCCATAAGGAGCATGCCCATGAGTCCACCATTTGAGACGAGGTGGATTCGACCATTTGCATAAGTGTAAGCTGTAGGAAAGATGTCCTTCATCGCGATCGTAGCCATCATGCCGGCGACAATACCGTATAGAACCGCCTGGTCAGTATCGTGACCGTCGCTGCCTGCAGCAGCAAGGGCAATGAAGGCTCCGACATGTTCGGCCATTGCAGCCACTATGCACCACATGATGGCCTTCCACTTGCTACCAGTTGCAAAATACACTGGAGCTGCTACGGCAACACCTTCGGCGATATTGTGGAGGCCGACACCAATGGCCATAGATGCACCAATTGCCGGGTCCTCCATTCCTGCTGTGAATGTAGCAATGCCTGATGGAATGTTGTGCAAAGCGATGGCGATTCCACTAAGGATACCCATTCGTTGCAGTTTGTCTTTGGCAGCCTCGTCCATTTTGACAAAATCTTGAGTTCGAGGAGACTCTAGAAGAACACTGTCTTGAAGGCTTCGACGCAAGGAACCTCTTTCGCAATCGATAACTGTAGGCAGGGTTTTTGGTGTCTCCGGGTCAAGCCCAGGGGTGAGTTTTTGAACCACAAAGTCTACAGCGTAGACGATTAGTATTCCAGCTCCTAAACACATTGTAGCTGCTGTCCAGGATTTACAATCAAGCGTATCGTAGTTGTCGACCTCGGACTGAAAAGTTACAGCGAATTGGGCTACGGAATAACTGAAGCTTACAACAAGTGCAAGGAAGATCGTGACACCTCCAGAAATGCTGAGTGTCGTGGCCAGTGCCATTGGGGTAGCTAATTGAAGCGTGCGATGACTGCAAATGATCAAACCACCCACCACCGTGGCGGATGCAGCAGCAGCGTTAAGTTGCAATGCTATGACGATGTGGGCGGCATGATCATGATGGTACAATTCAGTGTCGTTCATGTACTGGAAAAACCGAGATTTCGACGCCAAAGTGGAAGAGGTCTGCTTTCAGAGAGTAATTTCTCGAATGAACGAACGGTTCACTATCACTCATCTACCCCTTACCAAAACATTGTCGAAAGGCGCGTTGTAATGCCCCATTACTGGTCTTGAAAGTCGCGCATCTCACCGAAAGGACTCAAGTAGCGTGACGGGCCCAGCCTAAAACATCACGGAATGAACCATCGAGCACGTTACAAATGACTTTCTATGAGCTGACTACTTTCTTGCATCCGTCGTAGTGATATCTGGTCACTACTGATACAATAAACTACCATTCAGTCATTCTTACTACAAATATCAATGCGATTAGATACTCTATAGAGTACCTGGCAAACTAAGGTTACCTAGGTTTCGTGATAAGAATGATGGTCATCTTCAACGTGATCGTCATTCTGCTCACAGGTGGTATGGCTACAAATATCAGCAGCCATCACTACAGTTTTTCCTATTCGCTGAAAATCTTATTTTTTGCATTCTCATTGGTTGAAATTAGATCAGCGTCTTCACCAACCATTATTGTATCATTCACCATGGTCGAAGCCGAGACACCGCTCTTGTGGTGCGTGGACGAGCTCAACGTTGCTACTCGCCGTGGACGTGTAGTACGTAAGGTCCGAGAGCGTTATTTACGTGACGATCTGAGCTGTTCGCTGCCTAGTTGTTCGCTCTGTAGCACTGACAATGACGCGTCAGCAGCCACACACGTATTGGGCACAACCAAGACAATGTTAGGAGATTGTCCAAGAGACGGGGTGTATTTATTACCGTCTATGAAGACCGTTTTACTACAAATGGACGTTTTGGAGTTTTCGATCAAGAAGAAGACAAAAGTGGACACTCTGGAGGTTTTTGCGGACGTTTTAATCGTGGAAACTGTATGGGAATTTGTCAAAAGACAAGACTTGGGGGTCTACAATCGTCTCCGGGCACTTTTGATGAATGCCGATCGACGCTTTGTCGTCTTTGCCAATGAACATCATAGATCCTGCTTTGTTCAGAAGAATCAAATGCTGCCAAGAGGTTATCAGACAGATGAACAGGAAAATACTTTGGAAACGGAAGAGGACCGCAATAAACGTGCGGTAGCTACTGCTTGGATGTGGTACACATGTCATTTAAAAGAACTTGAGAGGAGTGACAAGTTCCGTGTCCAGTTTTTGGCTAATGATGCAGAGGACTTGATGCACGCTGAAGAATTTGGAGTAAAAGGTGGAGTGACCATCGCTGACTTCTTGAAGCCTGTAGCTAATGAATTTCCGGAACTGATGGATCTGCTGTCTGCGCCAGCAGCAGATGAGAAGAAGCTGACAGTTGAAGGGGTGAGTACTGTTAAGGGACGTGCAGACAAGAAGAAACTGTATCCAGAGCATTTGCCGGCGGCGGATTTGCTTGCTGGGATTAAAAATAAGAGGTTGTTTAAAGGCACGATTCGATGCAATCGTGACCATTGGCTTGAGTGTCATGTGTTGATTCACGGAGAGAATGGGGTGAAAATTCCGGTGTTGCTGCAAGGTCGAGAACATATTAACCGCGCGATTGATGGAGATCTGGTTGTTATTCAATTGCTGCCGAAGGAGCAGTGGAAGAAACAATCGGATTCGTTTGCTGCGAATGGCTCCGCTGCTGCACACGCGGCTGAAGAAGCTGATGACGACCAAAAGGACGAGCAACCAGAACCTGTTGGTGTGGCTGAACCTACCGTGTCACTGGAACAAGTGGCACTTGTGCAAAGTGACGCTGCTCAGACTGTGAAGCCTGCTGGACGGGTTGTGGGTATCATTCAGCGGAACTGGCGAAAGTTTTGCGGATCGCTGGAGCCCCCACGCGACGGAGTACCGTTCAATGCGTCTGGAAGCTGCTTGGTTGTGCCCGTCGACCGAAAGGTTCCAAAGATTAAGATACAAACGCGGCAGCAGGAAATTCTTATGGATAAAAGACTGTTGGTGGCCATTGATTCCTGGCCTGCGGAGAGCAAGTTTCCGCTAGGTCACTATGTTCGCACACTTGGTGTCATTGGTGACAAGGAGACTGAGACGAATGTGTTGCTGATCGAGCACAATATTCCGTGCGACCAGTTTAGCGACGAAGTGATGCGTTGTCTGCCCCCAGAGGACTGGAAAATTACCCCTGAAAATTCCACGGGGCGTCGCGACCTGCGGGACCTGCCCGTCATGAGTATTGACCCGCCTAATTGTAAGGACATTGACGATGCGCTGCATGCAAAACTTTTGCCGAATGGAAATTTGCAAGTGGGTGTGCACATTGCCGACGTGACGCATTTTGTAGCACCATCCAGTCCACTCGATGAAGAGGCTGCCGACCGTGGAACGTCGACTTACCTTGTCGACCGCCGTCTTGATATGCTACCAGGCCTGCTGACGACCAAGCTCTGTTCGCTTACATCTACGGAAGATCACTTTGCTTTCAGTGTCTTGTGGGAGATGAAGCTTGTTGGTGATAATGAAGTTCAGATCGTCGATGTGTCATTCTGCAAAAGTCTTATTCGCTCTGTGGCTTCGCTGTCTTACCAGCAGGCGCAAGAGTACTTGGACGATCCTAGCGCGGGTGATGTCTATGGCCAAAACGCGAAGAAGGAGAAGAAGGTGGGTGAAAGTGTGCAGGAGTTTGAGCGGCGCCAATTGCTGGGAAGTGGTATCAAGACACTGAATGTAATCGCTAAACGCTTGCGTGCCAAGCGTATTGAGGCAGGTGCTTTGACACTGGCTTCACCTGAGGTGCGTTTTGTGCTTGACACGGAAACACAAAATCCGTTAGATGTGCAAATGTACACTCTCCGTGACACCAATGCTCTTGTGGAAGAATTTATGCTTCTGGCAAACATCACTGTCGCCAAAAAGATTGTGCGTCACTTCCCGACCTTTTCGATGCTCCGCCGGCATCCAGCACCTTCCAAGCGTCAGTTTGATCTACTTTGCAGTCAAGCCAAGGCAGTGGGTGTTGACTTGCACGTGGATACATCGAAGCAGTTGCAAGACTCGTTAGATGCTGCTGACGTCTCTTCCAAGCAATCAGGCGAGAGAAACAAGGGCAAGCGAAAACATGGCGACAAAGCAAACCCGTACTTCAACAAGCTGCTGCGTATCATGACTACACGCTGTATGATGCCGGCTAGCTACTTCAGTTCAGGCGAGGTGGCACCCCCGGAATTTCATCACTACGGTCTGGCAGCTCCAATCTACACGCACTTTACATCACCTATTCGACGATATGCTGACGTGGTTGTCCATCGCCTGTTAGCTGCTGCCATTGGTATTGCACCACTACCAAGCTATCTCGAGAACAAGTCTCATCTACATGAGATCAGTGACCAACTGAACCGACGTCATCATGCAGCTCAACTTGCTGGTCGAGCTTCCGTGACTCTACATACAGTGATGTATTTCCAGCAATATCCGACACGGACAGATGCCGTGATCACAAAGGTCAAGAATAATGGAGTGGGTGTGCTCTTGCCCCGTTTTGGTATTGAAGGGATGATTTTTCTATGTGAAAAGGGCGAACAAGATGACGAACATGTCGTGCGATACAATGCCAATTGTCACTCGCTTACGCTTGTACAAAAGAAGAATCGCACCCTCCAAGTTTTTGATCGTGTGCTTGTCAAGGTTTACGTCGCACTTACTTTTGGCAATCGTCAAGAACTGAAAATGGATTTATTGGATGAAGACGACATTGTGGACAAAGAAGAACAAAAGGACGAGAAACAGAAGAAAGCAGAAATTAATCTTCGGGCAGCTCGTAAGAAACGCAGAGTAGCTGCATAAAGTGTTGCTACTACATGTATTAGTCTACCAGACATACTACTCTTGATATGAACTGAGGTATTAATCGACTTCGTAGCTATTTTATCTTACACTATCAGTAGTATATAATATCTTAGCGAAAAATAGTACAAAAAACTTTGGATTTAATCCACAATAATACTATTTATTCTTCATTGCAAGTAATTAACTAATGTCCGAGATCCCTGCGTCGACATCCCATGCGTATTCCTCTCCTACAAAGGCCCTTCCCATGCTCCAGACTCGCATGCGTTCTCCTACAAACATTCGTAGTCCAATGAAGTTAGTACGACCTCGGGAGATTTACGTAACATCGAGAACGAAGGATGTCCAAAAAAGGTTACACGAAGTGGAAGATAATTGCTTGGAGAGCACGTTAGTAGCCTCCAAGCGCGCTAAATTTACTACAAATACAGATAAAAAGACACCAAGTGGCCAAGATTCCAACTCGAAAGCCGCCGTAGAAGCTTCACAACCGTCGAAGGAAGAGGATGGTTACATAGGTTACATAGAGGGGTTACGCCGACAAAAGAAGGTGGCCCAGTGCCTTGACCAGGACTTGCTTGGCGAAAACGTCCGAATGAGACTCAAAATTTTACATTTGAAAGACGAAGTCGACTTTTATTACCAAATTTTGACCAATATTGAACTCCTTGCGACTCAAAAGAGACAAGAGAGTGAAGGAAAGAGTAATCAGGAACAAGAGCGGGTTACAAACCTATCAGAGCAGATACAGCGCGTTATCAGTGCCCCTAAACCGTCGGATAGGGCCATTTAAATGACTAAATAAAGTACAAGTAACGTCGTTATCGACTACGAAATTAATCAAATTTGAGTCAAATGTGCTTTTGTGTACCAGTTTTGTACCTAAAGTAGCCAAATATGGGTCAGCACCACATCGCACTTACTTCACGCTCCAAATCTTCATATCGTTACTTTTGACAATATCCCGTCAACCGTACTGCTCACCACCCGGTCGATCCATACCTTCATCGCTTCGTCTCTCCATCCCCAGAGCTCTTTACCCTCCCATCAACGTCTCATTACAAAGCTCTTGATCTCCTCTATCTTCTCCAGTATCTTTTATCCTCCAACTCGCTTCGTACTTGATGGGACAACACTTTTTGTTCCATCGTGATCTCGTATCTGCCACTGCCATCCATCACGCTGTAAATGCTCGTCTTACGAATGATTTTCAATCCGATTTAGTCCTTCTTGGTCCTCAATGGCTTCGTATCTATCGTCTGGAGCCCTTTCCAAGCTCTTTTACTTCTGTAGAGCCTACAAAAGGTCAAATTTTACATTTACAAGCTTCTTTTTCCTTAGCAGGTATTGCAGAGAGTGTTTATGTGCTGAGATTTGACAGGAGTTTATTAAGGAAGAAACACCGGTTCTATGGAGGTCAAGACGTGCTGTTACTTAGTTTTCCTCTGTTTAAATGGGTCATTATTGGCTACGACCGACGTGCCCATAATTTAGTGACTCTAGCCATGTATTCCTTTCAAGAGGATGCTATTGGACCAGGAGCGACTTTAAAAGGAGAGAAAAATGGACAAGAACAAGTATTAGGACTTGGTACTCAAGCAGTAGCACGAGTCGACCCACAGACAAGATGTGGTGCTATGCTCGTGTATTCCGATCAATTGGTGATTGTGCCATTCCGGAGTGAATCCATGGAACTTTCTTTTTTGAAGATGAAGAAGAAGGTGATGAAGATGACGAACAAGATGGTGTTACTTCAGCAGATTCAGAAGAAGAAGAAGATGATGAAGAAGAAAAGAAATTGGAAGAATTGGTGAAGGAGAGTAAACATAAAGGAGTGACAAGTGATATGAGTAACACACTGAATGCATTACTTGATAAGAGTGTGAAGCTTGGAGCGAAGCGGAAACGCAATCATACGAGTGGACTCATGCCAAATGATATTACTGGAAGAGAATTTCTACTACGGCTACGAGAGCTGGAGATTACAGGAAAAGTTATTGATTTGGCATTTCTTGACGGATACTTGGAACCGACGTTGATGGTATTGCACGAGGAAAATGAAAGAAACTCGACGTTTGGAAGACTGGCTGTCGGGTTTGACACGTACTGCCTTACCGTCATGTCAATTGACGTGAACACAAGGTACGTCACCAGCGTGTTACCTTGTGATACATAAAGGAATAGTATATTTGAACTGATACTCGATTGTGTGGCTTGTGCAATATAGACTTCACCCGAAGATTTGGACGGTAAAAAACCTTCCGTCGGACTGCTTCCGCTTGATTCCGTGCCGTGCACCGCTTGGCGGCGTGGTGGTCTTATCAGCTAATGCATTTCTCTATTTCAATCAGACGCAGTTCCACGGCCTTGCTACAAACGTTTTTGCTAGCAAGACGGTAAACCAGTCAGTCTTGCCTCTTAGCGACGCAATGTACGAGACCCCAGATGGCAACACTGCACAGCTCAACATTGTACTCTACGACTGTAAATACGAGTACCTGCACGAGAAAGAGCTGCTTATAACTATGCCGAGTGGAGAGCTGTATGCGCTCTCTTTGCCGTACGAGGAAACGTCAAGCCGTGGCCTAAGCGGTTTCGGTGGTGCGTCGTCTAGTCGGAATGCGTCACTGTCATTGCGAATGCTTCAATCTGGCATTGTAGCACATTGCTTGTGCTTGAACGACGAGAACAAAACTTTGTTTGTGGGCTCAAGGTCAGGCGACTCGGTGCTATACGCTTTGGATCGAAAGAAACTGGCTAGCGCCGAGGATGAAAAACTAAAAGAACTAAAAGATGAGGACATGCCAATGAAAGAGGAGACATGTATGGAAGAAGCGGATCTTTTGGTCAAATCTGAGCCAGCTGAAGAGGAAGAGGAAGATGAGGACGATCTGTTTTTGTATGGGACAGCTTCAATAAAGGAAGATCCAGCGACAGCAATGGACCCAACAGAGCTTTCAAACGGAGCAAATGAATCTAGGAAGGAGGCTAATGATGTTTTCTCAGAAGAAGTCTGTGGTTCATATGGTTATGAACTCCGGCAAATTGATGTTTTACCAGGCATCGGACAGATCACGTCGATTGAGCTTGGCGTTGGAAGCAGCGCAGACTCGAATGAAAAACGGGAGGAACTTGTCATTAGTGGTGGATTTGAGCGCAACGGCGCTATCTCAGTGCTGCACAACGGGTTACGCCCAATTGTTGGAACCGAGGCAGAACTGAGCGGCTGCCGAGCAATGTGGACGGTATCGTCTTCACTGCCTTCTGCGACAAAAGGTTCCGATGGGCAGAGCTATAACGCGTACCTCATCCTGAGTGTTGCTCACAGAACGATGGTACTCCGAACAGGCGAAGGCATGGAGCCGTTGGAGGACGACAGTGGTTTTTACACGTCTGGTCCAACGCTTGCTGCAGCAAACCTGTTCAACAAGCAGCGTATTGTTCAAATATTTAAGCAGGGGGCTCGCGTGATGATGGAAGTGCCCGAAGAGGAAGCATCAAATGACCAAGAGAAGACAGAAATGACCATTAGTGCCGATGAAGCAGTAGAAGAAGATGATGAAGACGAAGGTCCGAGGGTCAAGCTGGTTTGCACGCAGGAAATCACTTTAGAAGGAGATGTTGAATGCGGAGGAATGAACGTCGACACATCGAGAGTTGGAATCGTGTCTGTGAACGTTATTGACCCGTACATTCTGTTACTTCTAACTGATGGTTCGGTTCGCCTACTCATGGGAGATGAAGAAGACTTAGAGTTGACGGTGATTGACCCAGAGATTGATTATCTTGATGGTATTGTCGACTCGAATGAAGCCGCGGACACATTAAAGCATGGTAGCAGTTCAGCGTGTCTCTTTTACGACTGGGCTGGCATGTTTCGTGAAAACGCGTGGGGGGAGGATGAGCGTGAAGAGAGAAGCGAGTCTGCTGCGAATGAAATTAAGAAAGAAAACGCGGACAAAGACGATGACATGGACGCATTGTACAATACGAAACTAAGTCCAAGAGCGACTTTGTCTGATCGCAATAGCAAAGCAAAGTTGGTGCCGATTCAAGCTTTTCAGAAGAACGTTGATGGTTCCGTGTCGATCCCGCTGCTAAAGCAAAAGGATGCGAAGATGATGTGTGGCATGTGCTTTGGCGATGGTTCTCTTCATGTCTTTTCCCTCCCAGACTTCAAGAAGAGAGGTGTGTTCCCATACCTTACATTTGCACCACAGTCCCTCGTGAATACGCTAGAGCACTATCAGGTCAGCAAAAAGAAAAGAGTGAAATTTTCTGCTCCAATCCTTGGCCTCAACGCATCGACATCTTCAGCAAACGACGGCCGTATCAAGAAGTCGCACACCATTAATTCGCCAGTAGCTGACATCATCATTCAACGCGTTGGCCCGAGCGAAGGTCAACACAACGCACAATATCTCTCTCGAATGGTAATGCTGGTGTTCCTAGCAAACGGCGACTTGCTAATGTACTCGACGATACCTAAGACTGAGGGTATAAGGTTGCGAGTGGAAAAAGACGAAACCGCCCCTGTGTTTCAATTCGTTCGTGTAGGAACTGATCTCATCACGCGACCATTTCTTCCTTTACGAGCCCGCACGAATGCTCATAACGAGTCTGGTAACAACCCAGAGGTGAACACCAGCGCAGTGCTGGCTAAGCTCCGCGCCGGGTTTCGGTATCCTATGCTGACAAGTTTTGCTAACGTAAACAACATGAGTGGCGCGTTCTTTCGTGGTGCCCATCCCATGTGGATTGTGGGTGATCGTGGACAACCAACTTTTGTCCCGATGTGTGTCGCTGGATCAGCCCCGCCAGCTCCACGAGCAAATGGTGCCTCTAACAAAAATGCGACTCCCAGAGTGAGCGTGCCAGTTTTGAGTTTTACTCCATTCCATCACTGGAATTGTCCTAATGGGTTTATTTACTTCCATTCGCGCGGTGCGTTGCGTGTGTGCGAACTCCCTTCAAGTAGGACTTCAACGATTCTCCCGTCGAGTGGTGGATTTGTGCTTCAGAAGGCAGAATTTGGTACTACCTTGCACCACATGTTGTATCTGGGAAACCGTGGCCCTGGTGGTGTCGCAGAGGCCCTTGAAGCGCCCACATATGCTGTTGTTTGCAGTATAAAAATGAAGCCAGCTGATGCAGAACGAGCCACAGAAGTTGAGGGTATAGAGGAAGAGCAAGAGCCTGAGAACTTGGACGCAAATGGGAATCCTCTTGGAAGCAACGTAATGGCACCGACAGCAGAAATGTTCCCAGATTATGAGATTGATAAAATGGCACTGACAGAGGAGGATGTGTACGAGCTTCGTTTGGTGCAGACCGACGAATTTGGCGAGTGGGGACGCCGTGGGGTATTCCGTGTGCACTTTGAGCGGTATGAGGTGGTGTTGAGTGTGAAGCTCATGTATCTATATGACTCGTCACTAATGAGGGAGGAAGTATATTCTACTTCGCCAGAATGGAACAAGAAAAAGAGACCGTACTTGGTGATTGGCACGGGTTGGGTTAGTCCGCACGGTGAAGACGAGAGTGGGCGCGGTCGGCTGCTTCTTTATGAACTTGATTACGCTCAGTACGTCAACGAAGAAGGCGGCGCCACGAGCGTAAAGCTACCGAAGTTGCGGCTAGTGTTTATGAAGGAACATCGACAGGGAGCCATTTCGATGGTATCGCAGCTTGGACCGTATGTGTTGGCGGCCGTTGGATCAAAGCTCATTGTGTACGAATTCAAGTCCGAACAACTTATTGGGTGTGCGTTCTACGACGCACAAATGTTTATTGTGACGCTGAATGTCGTGAAGGACTTTATCATGTACGGTGATGTTTACAAAAGTGTACATTTCTTACGATGGAGGGAGAACCAACGCCAGTTGATGCTGCTGGCGAAAGACTACGAGCCATTGGCTGTATCTGCCACCGAATTCAGCGTGTTCGAAAAGAAGCTAGCGCTGTTGGCAGTGGACATGGACGAGAATCTGCACGTCATGCAATTTGCACCGCAGGATATCGAATCCCGTGGTGGTCAGCGACTTCTACGTGTTAGTGATTTCCATCTAGGTGTGCAGGTCGCGAGCATTTTTCGTAAACGAGTGGACGCTCTTAGCTCTATTGTGCCTGCTACAAAAGGCCGCGCAATAACACCGCCTTCATGCTACGTCAACGTCATGGGTAACTCCGAAGGTGGCGTTGGCGCTCTGATTCCTGTTAGTGAGCGCGTTTTCCGCCGTCTTTTCACGCTGCAGAACGTGATGGTAAACACACTACCCCAAAACTGTGCGTTGAATCCGCGTGAGTTTCGCATGCTCAAAACCAATGCGCAGCGACGGTGTGGAAGACCTGATGCATGGAGCAAGAAGAAGTGGAAGAAGAGTTTCCTGGACGCATTCGTGCTATTCCGCTTTTTATTGCTTGACTACGTGGCCCAAAAAGAGCTAGCACGATGCATTGGCACCACACCCGAGGTTGTCATCCACAACCTGCTAGAAGTTCAGCACGCTACAGCAACTTTCCTGTGATGCTCTCACGCAAGTGGAATTTTTTCGATGATAAGCGAATTTGGATTTACTCACCACGTATTCCACGTCTCAAGGAACAAGATGAGGAATATATAAAAATATATACCAAGGCGTATGGCATGACCGTGACGATAGATTTCTTTACGTCCAGGCACCTTTTAAGTTCTACCCGGAACAAAAAGCTCTTGTGATGGTTTGCAAGCCTCAATTTTACCGCTTCAGTATCTTAAGTGACCCAGCAGATCGGCATTTGTTCCCACCATCAAAAGTTTCACAGCTTTGTCATGAGGTTAATGAAGCAAGACCATCGGAATGTCATCTTATGCAGTCACGAGTCGTTTTGCACCAACCGTCGGCTTTCGATAGTGAACTATGTATCCCATCGTTCACAATGATAGGCTATCAATTCGACGAGTTTTCGTTTGATCTTGTGAGCACGTACAGGTATTGGTCCACGATTAGGTCAGCATTGAAGACGTGAGGCGAGGCTAGTGTATCCAAATGAACGGCATTGAAGCCGTACAATTTCTTTGCCTTGGTGAAAAAAGACAAGTCGTTCTGTTCGTGTCCCGGGACATGATGCGCAAAGCTCACGAACGCCTACTCACCACACAACCAATTCAGTTGAAGCAAGAAAAGAATTTCTGTGTGCACCAAGTTGCTTCCTCACTTTTCCACAAGGCGTCAAGCACGAGTCGATGGACTTCAACAAATCCTCGTGCTGGACGGCAATTACGACAGAGATGGGCATGACCACCCACGGCCACCAAAAGAAAACTAGTTACTATCCTTGTGGCAAAAACCAAAAGCTTTCAAGGTAGCAAAGAACTTACCAAGTGATGCAACCATAGACACTCTGCGACGACTGCAACGTCAAACCGCGTCTTGACATCCATCCTCCTCAAATCCACACCTTCTGACATAGATGTCTTCACACATTGTGATTCATCAAGGCATCTCAACAATCCTGCAGTATCACTGCCCCAAAGATGTCCACAAACTTCATGTCTTCCATTCCCCAGTAGCGACTCATTACGGTGAATATTTGACGCAATATTTTTCAACAGCAATTCATTCGGGTAGTCTAAACAAAAGCTTGAACCCGTCATTACATGATAAAATCCTAGCGAAAACTCACAAAAACACACACACACACACACAATAACCACGTCTCACCAGTCATTACGGCCATCTTGGCTCCGAAATGCAGTGCTACAAGCGACGGTAACGCTCTGTACAGAACCCACCAACAATAGTGAAAAAAGATTAGTAGCTTTCTAATTGTATTAATTCAGACACGACTCACGACGCAGCACCAAACTCCACGACGGTACGACCTTTCACTAGATTCGGATATCTTGCAAAATGTATCGCAATGAATCTCTAACAATTTCATCAATAAGTTAAGTTGCACAATCGAATTATTGCAATAAAAAATAAAGTTGCTGACTCATGCCACCGACCGCTCCATTCCAGACGGCACAGGCAAAAAGTGAGCCGGGGATTCCACCGTCATCATCGGCGACAGAGATGCGAAAATGTGGTGTCAAGGCACCTACATTTATCTCTTGAATAAAATCTTCTGGATTGTATCCATTATCCTCTCCGTGCTGGAGGAACAAACTTCCTACAATATTGTCCTCTAATCCGTCCATATTGTGATATTTACTTTCGCGTGAAAATGAATTACCTTAATATTTCAAATAGCGATTTCTTGCAAAAGTATACGAATTGCTGAAATTTGCGGCCAAAAGAATAATTTTAGAAAAAAGTTATCCATCCCCCCTAAACCGGAATTATCGTGTTGTAACTCAGCGACGAAGTCGTGAATTTCCGAATACTTGCCGCTACTCTAAGCAAATATTTATGAGCTGCACGAGATTCTTCGTCACAGTCTCCAATGCTGTTAGTGCATGCGTGGAGCATTGCTTGATGCTTCTTAATGAATGGCTCGTGCAGGAAGAAAGAAGTCGGGGTGTCCATAAGCGATTTAGCTATCGAAGCAACATGCTCATTATTACTCATTTTGCCACTTCTACTTGCAAAACTTCGTCAGCTTCATTGTTGTAGCATCGTTTGTCAGCAGTATCATATAAGCACCGCGATGAGTTCGACATGTCGCAATCGCTTCAGAGTGTTTTGTATCTCCAGCACTTGCAAAACATGCCACGATAGTGCATACTGATTGGGTCCAAAGATACTTCGAAGGTAGCAAAGCTACGTAGACCACCACGCAAAGAATTGTCAGAGCCGCCTGGTTCAGGATGTTTGATTCGAACCTGTTGTAGATATGAGTTGGGACGGCCTCCTATCCTCTGTAACGCGTGCTACAAGCAAGCAAAGGAGTATTATGCACGTCTTCTCCACCAGTACAAGCTAAAGAGCAGCAAAGTCAGTACCCCGATAACGTCTGCCTCAAACGACTCCGTCATGTCGCCAATTTCACCTGCCATTTATCGCACATGCAAGTAAGCTAAGGTCCAGTATATAAAGTAGTTGTTGACTTCGTATCGTGCTACGAAAGTTTTCCTTTGAAAAGAAGCACCAGCAAACGGTGACTTCCATCAAATTCCATCGCATCGATAGGAGCCAACGTAGAATCACACATCGATGCTTGCTAATCCTAAACCAAGTGTCAAGTTCGTAATTTGTACGACGTATATCAAGCCAAATTCCACGCACCTAAATTCCTCGTCGACCCTTTCGACTCCCCACTGCCGTCTCCTAAACACTCACGATTGCTGCATGATACCTATGATCACATATTGCTCTGACTGAACGCGATGCACCTATGGCCAAGAACAGGAAATGCACCTCTTTGTCACTATACAACCACACATGTTTGTACTTTTGTCTTTTCTTACCAGCATACAAGACAAAGCTTTCTCTCTCAGTCGATCAACGTTCACCCATTCGAATCGAGTATTCTTTAAGACTTTACTCGAAATGTCTTTGTCATTTTCAAGCAGTTTGTGCTCAAACTCTGTCGATGCAAGTTCCCCAATCGCAATAAAATCCCCAACGACGCTATCACCACCAGATCCTGCGCGTCGTTCGAACCGATCTCTTCCTCGGACGTTGCAAACTTGATACAAAGCACACTAACGCACACAAACGTCACAAAAAACACAGCAAAGCCACATCCTTCAAAACCGTGTTTTATACCTGTCCGAGCCATTTGTACGCACCACGGAGTGTCCGAACAAAAGGACCTCACTAATCTTATACAGAGACAAGATACCTGCTGCATCTGCAATTGCCACAAACTTTTTACAAGCACTAACTGCGATCGCCAATACTTGGAGCGTCATGTGAATCATCTTTTGGTCCTTATTTCTCGTCTCCTTAAAGTCAGAGACGTCTACAATCTCCACCTATGTCCTTTCCTTTGCTATCATTGCACTCGTAGCCCCGTGATAGCGATCCACGGGATTGTTCGAGAGCTTGTTCGAAGGATTAGGACCTTTTTCAAGATGGAATCGCACACAGCAGAGACGCTGTGGATTGTACGCTTTCTGTCGCGATATTCTTCTCATGATTTTTGTCTTTACCCTAATATATAGAGTAAGAGGTTAGTATATAGCTTGGAGAGACGTGAAAATCATGTGAACGTACCGTCATAATGGACACTGGAACGGCGACGCACTGTTCAAATTAGAAAATGGTCGTAGAAGGTTGAAAGCTCTGAGAGCCTACATTTCGTGCGCTTAAACTATAGCATGTACTTCTTCTGTGGGAATCTTGTGCGGCTGTAGTATAAACACTTCCTTTGTTCGTCAACTTTGCAGCTCGCCATAGGGAACGCTCTTGATTGACAAAATACATGTGCTAGAGAAAGCATGTACTTGAGCTCGCTTTTGCTGTACCATATGCACAGTGCATTATCTACAAGATTAACGCTATGCACTTGGTAAGTATTCAGAGTAAAGCAAACTGTGCAGTACAATATGCGTTTTGCCTTTCTCTAGCTCCATAAACGTGCTTATAGCAAACAGGAAACAGTTACTAGAGGCATGAACTTACCATGTATTGACTTACTGCACTGACACGGAAGCCGGAATTATAACCATATAGTACAATATATATCATCTTTTTGAGCGATTTCTATCGGTGTCTAAGTGCTACTCGTCTTATCAAACAAGGAACATTGTCGTACCTATGTGATACCATCACCACATGGTGATCTTCTAAAAATAATTCGACAATATCCTTGAAGGTAGAAATGTCCTGCTTACTGCCTGGTATAGGCCACAATATTAATCAGTGCATGGATGACGGGTAGGCAGATAGCCAACAATAAGACGTATTCAGTCGATCACTCTTCAATTTGAGCACAATTGACACCACAAGGAAAATTACCCTAGCACACTGCTAACACGAAGTCATGCGAGCCAGCTGGATTTTTTTGCTCTATGGAGTGACTCTGTTTGTTGGCAATAGTGTTGTGTCGGAACCAAGCATCACTCAAGCTTCATCCCAGAGCGTGACACAAGTGTATCATGTTGCTACAACCAACTGCAGGCGATCCCTTCGATCAGATGTAAAGGCTGACGAGGTGACCGACGTGGGTGACGACGAAAGGGGATTGAAATATTATGGTTTCTAGGGTCTGGAAGATTTAAGAGTGCCGCTCTTGATCGAGGTAAAAGAGGCTGCGATGCGGATCCAAAAAGAGGAAGCTTTTGGCGCATTAATGCAAGAACTGCATGCGGGTGGAAAGGTGCAAACTGTTGCGGAAGGGTTCGCCAAAGCAGGAATTGATCTTAACTGGCTTACGTCTTACTTAAAATTGAAGAATCCTGAAAAAATGATGATAGTGAAACCTAAAGCATTAACGACGGACCAAGCGTTGTGGCTGGCTGTCGCAAAGCACTTTGAAGAAACTCGTAATGAAAACAGCTAAGCTACCAATATTTTTGGACTGTAGTTACATTAGGACAGCCCAACCGCAGCTCCCACTGTATATCCCGTACGTAACACTTCAGACTTGTAGACACTTTTGTGATAAGTTACAATAAACTCCATACTATTTGCTCGAAAGATTAATCCTTTGCACCAAAATGGCAACTTCATGTGAGGTAGAAGTAATAACAGGGTGTGGAAATAAGTTCTGAGCTGTAGATTATTCCTTAGCGCCAGGAAATACGCAAAACAGGTTTGTAGCATGTAGCAGCTAATACCTTTAACTATTTGCCACTAAGCCTGCACGATTGCAACATGGCAAAACTATGATGTTGACATTGTTTACATCATAGCAATGCGAGTACATAGCTTCAACTGGCGCCTGACATTTTAGCAAGCGTCACCTTCCATTTGTAGACATTCTCACGTAGTCAGCTATGTGCTAACGATGTCATTCACTTTCTTTTACGTAGATGCGTCTTCGATGAAAACTGGAAACTTGAGCAGTCGACTCGGTTTGCATTCAGTTGTGCAGGTCTTATAAAGCCGGCGTTGACTTCCCCAAAGTCAACGCACGTGAGCTAGCCAGCAGCGACTGCATCATAGTCTCTCTTGCAACTTACGCAAGCATCACAATGTGGTCGGCAGCTATCATTGTGGCCAATTTGACTATCAAATGAGTACACAAACAAATGTCACTATAGGCGAGGCGAAAGAAATCGCTGCACTGGATGTACTCTGTGACGCGTTTAGTCGCCGTTCGTCACGATGTATTCGGTAGATTAAATGAGTACACACAAAGTGACCACTACAAGCGAGGCGAACGAAATGGTTGGCACTGGATGCGCTCTGTGACAAGCTAAGTCGAATACCGATCACATGGCAATTGGGGCACTGCAAACGCAGCTCTTAGTGTAGGAAGTAGGATGACTAAATGCGATTTTCTTACATATGCGCTGACAATACAGAACGCTTATCATGACAGCAATTTCTTATAGAATCCATCGCTGTTTAGCATATGCTGCTTTCTGCCATTCATGAGCTACTCGACGAGTCAAGTGAAAACCGCATCCATGAGGTCCTGAGACAGTGTAGAAATCGCGCTATCCTCGACAGCTACATCATTTAGAAAACTAAGCACCACTAGACGCACGAATCGGACTTTGGCATGGCTGACAATTTTTACCATCTGAAATTTTGAGATCATGTTCTAATTTGAACAGTGCGTCGTCGTTCCAGTGTCCATTATGACGGTACGTTCACATGATTTTCACGTCTCTCCAAGCTATACACTAACCTCTTACTCTACATACCAGGATAAAGCAACGACCATGAGAAGAATATCGCGTGCAATCCACAGCGTCTCTGCTGTGTGAGATTCCATCTTGAAAAAGGTCTTAAGCTCTTCAAACAAATTCTTAAACACCCACTTCCAGACCAAGAAGTCCGTGACTTTCTTTGTAAATCGAAGGTTTAATCACAAACTTTAGCTCATCGATGTAGTCGTTGAGGTTCTTGCAATTTGCTGCACCAAGACTATATACCAGCACTCTCCTTAGCTGTTAGTAAAAAAAATTCTATTAATTAAAGCAATCGAATTTTATAGTCCAGACTGGACGTAGCATACAAAACCCAAGTCTTAATTTCTTTTCCTACGACTGTTTCGTTTATTCATCCTTTTAAAACAATGTCAATACGTACGACACCAGAGGAACTGGGCGCGCTGCAATACGTACCCGAGCGCATTCGCAATATCTGTATTCTAGCTCATGTTGATCATGGCAAGACGACACTCAGTGACAGTCTCGTGTCCGCCAATGGCATCATCTCGGAACGACTTGCTGGCAAGGTATTCAAAAAACGTAACCTGTACCCCCTTAAGCACGTACCCCTCTCATTGATACAAACTAAACTTACCTCTTTTTCAATGTAACCCTTATGTGTGTTGTATCTAGATTCGTTATTTGGATAATACTGAGGAAGAGCAAATCCGTGGCATTACGATGAAATCCAGTGCCATTTCATTACTTTATCAACCAAAAGTTATTCCTGAGAAGGAACCGGAAGCACCATATCTCATTAATCTCGTGGATTCTCCAGGTCATGTGGACTTTTCCTTTGATGTGTCTACTGCAGTGAGACTTTGTGACGGAGCTTTAGTACTTATTGATGCAGTTGAAGGTGTCTGTGCTCAGACTCATGCTGTGATCCGTCAAGCTTGGAAGGAAGGCATTCGACCATGTCTTGTTATTAATAAGATGGACCGACTTATTTTTGAATTACAATTCTCACCTATGGAGGCCTATCAGCGACTTAATCGCATCTTGGAACAAGCCAATGCAATACTAAGTTCAATGATCAGAATGGACGTAATGAAGAAATACGATCAAGTGAATGTTAGGGATGGAGAAGAGAGTGGAAACGAGATGGAGGTGAAGCTAGATGATGAATCGATATTAAAAGAGACAGAGCAGCGGGAAAACGAAATGCTGTTTTCACCCTCGAATGGTAATGTCATTTTTGCTAGCGCCACTGATGGATGGGCCTTTGGAATCGGACACTTTGCTGCTCTTTATGCGAAAAAATTAGAGCTACCGATTCGTGTGTTACGTCAAGCGCTGTGGGGAGATTTTTACTATAATCACAAGACAAAGCAGATTGTGACAAAGCCACCAACCGCCACTAGTCAGACAATGTTCTGCTCGTTTATTCTCGACTTAGTTTGGTCGACGTACACGACGATGGTGAATCCGGCCACATCGGACGAAGACTTGAACACGCTCCGCAAACTCACGCGACAGCTTCGGGTTGCAAAATTGGTCACGGACCGCGATTTAAGGCAGACGGATCGGAAGCTTGCCATTCGAGCCGTTATGCGTAAGTGGCTGCCGTTGTCGCCAACAGTGCTGAAGATGGTCACTCGCGTTTTGCCAAGTCCTGTGACAGCTCAAGTAAAGCGGGCCGAAAAGCTGTGCACCATCTCTCCAGAACACGAAAATTCATTGAAGCACGCGCAGGTTTTTCTATCGCTGAGATCATGCGAGACTTCGGAAGACGCACCACTGATCATTTACATTTGCAAGGTGATTTCGGTGGAAGCCAACGTACTGTCGGATTACCATCAATCTGGGCTTGCTGCCACTGATGAAGTTTATGTTGGTGTCGGTCGCGTCTACTCTGGTGTCCTTCGAGAAGGCCAACCTGTGTATGTGATGAACCCAAAATTTCAGGGTGTGTCTGGAGTTGGTGACGTTGATGCTGTGGATTGGAGCGCCATAAAGCATGTAGCCCGTATTGATAGCGGGTTGATCAAGCCTTACATGATGATGGGTCGAGATTTGCACAAATTGGACCGCGTGCCGGCAGGAAACATTGTGGGAATTGTTGGTCTACAGGAGCATGTACTAAAGACGGCTACACTGTCTTCCACACTGGCTTGCCCTTCTCTAACGAAAATGCCATATCAAGCGAAACCGATCGTGCGTGTGGCTGTAGAGCCAGAGGATCCACGCAATTTTGGTGCTTTGGAAGCCGGTCTGCAGCGGCTGTATCGATCCGATCCTACTGTCGAAGTTCATGTCCAAGAAACTGGAGAACACGTTATTGTGGCGCTGGGAGAACTTCACCTAGAACGATGCATAAAGGATCTAAAGGAACGCTTCGCCAAGGTCGCGGTACAAGTCTCAGAGCCATTGGTTGGATTTCGAGAAAGCATCGTTGATGGAGCGGTCTCTTCGTTCCAGGAGAACATCGTGTTCAAGGAGTTTCTCAACCCTAACGACGAGTCGTGTGACAGACATGAAATCACAGCCAGTAGTGAATCTAAGGTTGCTCTGGGAACGACCCCAGACGGTAGTTTGACACTAAAGCTGCGGGTGCTTCCATTGCCTCTTGAGACATCGAAGTTATTGGAAGACAGTGCACCACTATTAAAACGCATTGCACTTAGTAAGAAGACAGCTGATGAAGCAGGTGGCGAGGTAGCTATTGCAGAGAATGAGGCTCTTGCGGAAGATGTTTTGGCTTTTAAGAAAAAGGTGGAAGAATCACTTCGAACGAGTGAAAATGCTTTCCTGAAAGCACTTCTTTTGGACCGAATTTGGAGCTGCGGCCCGCGACGAAGTGGCCCGAATGTGTTGATCAATAACATTCCGGACTTCCATGCATCTGACTATCTATTCTTATCCAATTCCGTAGTTCCTGTCCAGAACTCGGAGAAGGCCGAACAAATCAAAAAGATGGAGAACAGCATCATGACGGGTTTCCAAATGGCCTCATCAGCTGGACCCCTGTGCGATGAGCCTGTTTGGGGAGTAGCCTTTATCATTGAAGATGTCGTTTTCCACAGCAACCAGAATGACGAGGAAAAGTCTGGGGACAAGAAGACTGACTCAAGCAAGTACGGTCCGCTTAGCGGACAGGTGATTTCTACAATGCGCATGACATGCCTCATGGCCTTTGTGAAGCAGCCCGTACGCCTGGTAGAAGCTGTGTATGAGTGCACTGTGCAGTGTCAAGCTGAGCAGCTCGGCAAGCTATATAGCGTGATCTCGAAGCGGCGCGGCGATATTTACTTGGAAGAGCTGTCCGATGGTACAGCACTTTTCACAGTGAAAGCTTACATGCCAGTCGTGGAAAGTTTTGGATTTGCCACAGACTTGTTGACTCACACATCCGGCGCGGCCAGCAACCCGCAACTCGTTTTTTCACATTGGAGCATCATAGATATGGATCCATTTTTTCAACCACAGACCGAGGAAGAGCGTGAAGATTATGGAGAGCGGGTGTATGAGCATAATTATGTGAGACGATACATTGAGGCAGTGCGCAAGCGAAAGGGTCTGTCCTGTGACGAGAAAATCGTCACTCGTGCTGAAAAGCAACGCACACTAAAAAGGTAGATGGCGAGTCATGATGGTTGGTGATGATTGTGTAGACTCCGGTTGCAATCGGAGACCTCGACCACGAATATTGAGTTTGATGAACGACATGTAATATCAACTTGTTTGTTTCAGTCGAGTGGCTCAAACGGACGGAGTACGAGCAGTCAGTATCTTGCGGTGATGATCCATATGTATTTTTGGTGAAAGGAGCGCAGATGCAACGCAAACTTGGGTTCTCGTTACGCAGAGAAAAATACAGACGTACGATTACTGCTGCTGCGCTTGTCGAAAAGACGGGCAACCTTCTGTCCGTGAAGAAGTGCTTGAGCTACATCACCCGGTTAGAGACTGGATATCTATCATCGGACGAGCATTGCCGTTTTTCAGCTGAACCAGACTTACCAATTTTGTTTCGAGGAATTGCAAAATTAAAGTAGCCGATGTGATCATTTTCTTGACGGTCTTCTTTTCGCTAGTAAATGTCGACAAATAGGCAGCGGAATAACATTCATCATGAGCACGTACGATCCGCCTATATGAAGTGTCAATTAAAATATTATTAGATCTAATAATGTATGACAATATTACCTATTCCTGAAATAGTGTCCCTGCATCTCCTTAAAGTTGGAAATGCCCTTTCAACTGGTTGATATAGGCCATTATATCAACCAGGGCGCTGGCCAATGACCGATGAACGCGCGCAATGAATGGAGGGTAAGTTGTCAACATACATAGTTGTAGTTTAATATACTTAAGACAAGGTCATAACAGATTAGTTTTATAAATTCGTATAACTGTATTAGATACAGTTCTCTGTTTTCTTACAACTAAGTGTGTCACTTAGTCGTATAGCTTCCTATGCCTCCGTCCGTGTACGCGAGGTTTTGAGGAACCTGCTTTCACTGTCATCAGTGAAGGTAGACTATACTGTTATCAATATAGTTGGAGGGTGCCCCCCTGACAACCAGCGTTCATCAATAGCCATACGATAAAGCACAATGGAAGGACCCCGCTTTACCTTTACAAGCTCACGCAAGCCTTTCACTTTTCCAGATCGGGTCACACAGCTCTTCAAATTTGCGTCACATGAGCGTATACGTGAACTTTGGCACAGCAGAGATTTCCAACCCTACAATGTCCGCATATTCCTCTTCCGAGAGATTACACCATGTGCACCAATATGCAGCCAGTACAGGTATCTCGGGGACCCCTATTACGCACTTTTGCAATTTAACGTATAAGTGGGCGTCACGTAAAGTCTGCAACACAGCGTCTAAATGATGCTTGTGCGACTCTATTGCGGTCAGACCGTCCTCCGCCTAACAATGCACGAATACATCGTCAAAGTAATGGGGCGCGTAGGCACGATGCTGACGCATCACGTGAGCCACCACTCGGTTGAATGTTGCTGTAGCATTTTTCAGCCCTTGTGGCATCACAAGACACTCCCACAGCATACCGCTTGGGGTGCTTACTGCCGTTTTGGCTACATCAGTATCTCTCAAGAGAACTTGATAGTAGCCATCCTTCAGATCCAACGCGGAAAAGATAGTTGACTTTTCCATGGAATCCAACAAGACATCTTTCCGCAGAATCGGCGTTTGAGCCGGAGTGGTGGCCGTGTTCAGCTTGTTATAACCATGAACCACGCGCCATCCATCTGTTGCTTTAGGCACACAGAAGGTCGGGCTGCAGTGAGGCGACTTTCTCTCACGTACATGTCCCGCCTTGGCTCGCTTGTCGAAGAACTCATCGATGTAATCGACTTGTTCCTTCGGCAACGGCCATTGCCTGGTCATACAATACTTGGTGCCAGGCTTTAGGTCAATTTCGTGCCTGATGCCCCTATCGGCCGGTAGGCGGCTCGGCGCTTCTGCTGGAAACACATCACGGTGTTTCCACAGAACATCATAGAACGGGCTGTCCTTCAAGGCATCCCAGCCTTGAGCAGCGAACCGTTTCTATTTGTCGGTCTCCAAGACGCTCTCATCCATTGTGGACGACGTGTAACAGTCCACCACGTTCTCTTCTAGAACTGGTGCGACTATCTCGTGGATCTTTCCTTCCTTTAGTTCGGACAGGAACAGATCCCACGTCATCTCCGAGAGATTTACTATCTCCTCGGAAGATGCCAAGACAAGTTGGAGCACCTCAACTGAGGATGCCTCCGGCATTTTGTCTTCGACGGCCTCGAACAACTCGTTCGTAGGTCCGTCTTCTTGGACCAAGACTGATCCAAGGGTCACTCGTTTTGACATGCTCTTGATAGTCTTAATAAGTCTGGTGCTCGTTCTTCGAGTCATCACGACCTTTGACCTGGAAGAAGGTGTCGTTGCTATCTCAGCTAACGCACTCCTTCCAACCGCATCAGGCTCTTGGCTCTGTGCCGGTTCTTGTGGCGCTTGACTTCCTGTCAGCCCACCATCAACTGCCACGGGCTCTCGGCTCTGTTCAGGACTCTCGGCTCTGTTCAGGACTATTGGACGCATGACTATCTGTCATCGCCCCATTTACTACACCAGTCTCCTCGAGCTGAGTAGGAACTTGTGTCAACTGACTTTCTGTCAGGGCACTTCCAACTACTCCAGGCTCAACGAGTTGGGTAGTTCCTGGTGTCGATTGACATACCGTCATCGCACCCTCGACTGTGTTGGACACAGCATCAATCGCATAAGCCTCTCGCAGTAGCACATCCTTCCGGTGTCCTACATAGAGTTAGCGACTGTGCGTGTACGCCAGTCTATCCTTGGTTGGTGTTTAGCCAACCAAGGCATGCCTAGGATGAGGTCATACGGACTCTCCATACCCAGCACTGTGAACTTCTCTTAACAAGAGAAGTCAATAAAGCTGAAAGCGAGTTGAACTTGAACTCCCTCCGATTTAACGAGTGCGCCATTCGCTAAAAGAACGGTCGCCTCTTCTCGCTTGCCATCCTGACAAAGCGACTCATAACTCGCCGGACTCTTTTTGCGAGCCGCGAGTTTCGCAAAATTCTTTGATGCACCCGAAATAACGAGAAGGGTCATCACTTGGTCATATCCTCTTACTCGAGCGCTATAGACTAAAACGATTGAGGCCCGACCTTTCGGTACCTCAGGGACTATGCTACCCATTTGTTCGATCACTCTGAACATAAGGGTAGCTTCAGAGTCCGCGACAGTAGGAAATCCCGACCCTACTGCGCTCCCACATATCCCTACCCATCTTGGGCAGGTACTGAACCCGTGCGTCGTGCACGCTGGTTTTTTGCACCCCCCTTCGGGTAGGGAGCTTTCTTGCTGGATGTCTTGGCACCAACATCAAGTTTGGCATAGCAGCGATCCATCACGCTTACCGCACTTGTAGTAGACCACGTCGGCATTGCCTAACTCCATTGGAGTGGCATTCGAAGTCTCAGCCGACAGCTTATAAAACCCTGTAGCCGAGGCACTGTTGTAGGATTTCTCCTCAACCATGGCAATTCCAATTGACTCTTCCATCATCTTTGACACCTTTCTGAAAAGGGATGACGAGATGGGTTGTGCCTAGTCCGTTCATGAACGTAGGCACCTTAATGTGCTCCGGTATCGGACCCACATTAATTAAAGCAGACAGCGAACGCATCTCCTGCACATACTCTTGCATAAGTTGTTTCGCCTGTCGCGCTTCAAAGAAACGCGCCTGAAGTAATACTGCATTGTTAGGCGGCTGATACATGGCACAAATCTTTGACTTAAAGATCGTCCATGATGGAAACGCATCAGCGTTTGCCATAAGTGCAGAGTAAGCCCACTCTGACGCTTTGCCACTCAGATTTGACATGGCATACGACACCATCCTAGTGTCGTCTTCGATGAGCTGCGCCATACCGCATTGCTACACGGCTAAAAGACAGTGGGCAATCGTATGTGGGGCAGTCCCATCAAACTTCGGAGGGTCCATCCGAATGGGCCTTGGCTGATTAGACCGGGCAGAGAGCGTCTCAACAGTTCTGTTGAGCGCCTCGTTCCGAGCTTGCTCACGCAAAAGCTCATCCTGAGTCTTATTGATGCACTCAGTAGTGGCTTGGGTGTTAGCCTCGGACGCATTTCTGCGCTGTCCGACCACAAACGCCTTGAATTGCTCCAACTGAGCAACATGTTGATCAGGAGGAAAATTTAAGAGATTGGTCAAGGCTTGTTCACCAAGTACCTATGCCAAGTGCTTAGCCAGCTCCCAATGATGTTGGGAGAGGTGAAGAAAATTACCCCAACCCACTTTAAGAGACATTCTCATCCACACGCACGCTCAGAGAGACGGGTCGTGGAAAGGACTACTAGTGCTACCAACTGAAGGTGTGTGCTACGTGCTACGCTGGTGCACACCTCCAAGCACGCGAGAAAACGGTTAAACCGTCTATCCTTCGTGCGCGGTGGTTAGTTGTTAGGTTGACCGCTTAAGCGGTCGCATCAACAGTTGCCTGTCGCCGAAGCGAAACGCGCAAAAAACTGCTATAACAAGTAATTCACATACGACAACGCAGCTTCTCGTGCGCAGGAACGTTAGTTTAGTAAACTTAAGACTGACTTATATTTTAATAAAAATTGACTTAATATAAATTTACCTACTGATTGGTTGATTATGCAAAAATTGGATATGCGTTTCTTTAGAAACGTATCCTTGCGGTCGTGCTTAAAATATATTTAAGCTCGCTGGTGACGTCTGTTTAAAGCGTCACCATGATGCCCAGTCCCAACTGGCGTCATCCTCGTTAAATGTTAATCCATCTATATATATAACATTCACGAGGGTGGATCATATTAATGTGCCACACCCAAGTGGGAGGTCTGAGGTACTACGTACCCTTTAACCTCCTACTTAACAGACTCATGTAACTATTAGATCGCTGCAATATCGGTCGTTAGTTGTCTCTTTTTGTCGATTACTGTCCTTGGAGACAACACGTTCGTCGGCAAAAGACAGAGCCGATGCTGGGTGTGCGCACCAAGTCTGATACAAGCGGAAATAAAATGATGTTTTTGTGTCTAACAAGTCACACG